TCCCACCCCTTGGCATCCACACCCAAATACCTCAGGGCAGCAACTATGATAGATGTCTCTATCATGTTTAGGATATATTACAGTGCTCAGCTGACTTTTAGAAAGTTGATTATCCTGGGGAACCTGAATAGGTCCATAGGAATAAAATGCTGTGTTCAGATAATATCAATTCTGTTCATCATTTTAAGTCTGTCCAAGTTTTATAATTATTCTTGAAAGGACTTTGCTAAGTTTATATTATTTTGATCATTGCAGTGAGAAAAATCTGTGTTTATCCATTTATTTCTCAAATAAGACCATTGTGACAAAAGTGTTCCTTAAATATTATGGCTTGTGTTTGTTTTCTAAAATGTCTTTTTTTTTTTCTCTCTCTTATGTTGTCATTTCAAACCACATAATGTAGTGCAATGAAATGTAAACAGATATGACAAAGAGACACTTCCTTCTCTGGAAATAAGTTTTTTTTTTTTCCACAGTGTTTACTCTGCATAAATTTTATTCCAACTAACCATTTTCAAAATCTTCATCTAAACTCCTTTTGCAACTTGTTGCACAGTTCTGTGTTTTCCTACCTGGCAATAAACGTGTACTTATGATTGAAATTTGTATGTTGATCTTGAATGCTGTTATGGTGTTCAATTCATTCATTAATTTTAGCAATGTCTTTATAGAGTATATTTTATATATAAACTAGAGGCCTGGTGCACAAAATTGTGCACAGGGAGGGGATGGTGGGTCCCTTAGCCCAGCCTGCACCCTCTCTCAATCCAGGATCCCTGGGAGTGACTGCTGTCTCTTAACTGCTCACCTTCCTGCCTGATTGCCCTTAATTGCCTCTGCCTCAACCCCCAGCTTCAGGATCCAGGTTTCTGTCCTCTGGCCGGCCACAGGCAACTGGGACCTGGAATCCTTCCCTCTGGGTGGCTGCAGGCACTCAGAACCCTGGCTGGGGATGGGCTGTAGGCATCCAGGACATCCAAGGCTGGCCCCAGGCACCTCGTAATCTGGGCAGTGCTGCCCAGGCTCCAGCTTTGTCAGGAAGGACGTCCAGAATGATGTCTGGTCTATCCAGTCTAATTAGCATATTACCCTTTTATTAGTATAGACTAGAGGCCTGGTGTGTGGATTCATGCACCAATAGGGTCCCTTGCCCTAGCCTGCACCCTCTCACAATCCAGACCCCTTGGGGGATATTGGACTGCTGATTTCAGCCTGATTCCAACAGGCCAGGCCAAGGGACTCCATGGTACAAGAATCTGTGCACCAGGCCTCTAGTATGTATGTAAGATCTTTGATTAAACTCTTCCTGCCCTCCCCCTTCTCCTTTTCCCTCTGAGATTCATCAGTCTGTTCTGTTTCCATGCCTGGGCATTGAGAACCTTCCCCATGGTGGTCAGTTCACATCATAGCTACAGGTCAAACAGTCAAAAGGTCAAATAGTCACTTAGGCTTTTATATATGTAGATTATACTTTCTTTCTTTCTTTCCAATTCATATGCCTTTGTTTTCTTTCCTTTTGCACTGGCTAGCTCTACCTTTATCACATTGTGTAAAAGTCCTAAGTGGGGACATTCTTGGTCTCTTCTCTCTCTTTGGGAAGTCTCTCACCATAAATATAATGTCAACTATATATTTATTCAGTGTCATATTGGCTAGAAGTATATCAATAGCAGTGTCTTTTCGAAGAGATAGCCTTTGTTTTCATTGAATTTTTTTCTATTTTTTTGTTTTTAATTTTATTAATTTCTGTTCTGGTCTTCATTGTTCCTTTAATTTTTGCTTGCTTTGGGTTTAAAGTTTTTGTTTTTTTTTTTTCTCTATAGTAACATGAGACTTGTTACAAATTTTACATCTTCTTTTCTAAAATAAGAATTTAATGCTATAAGTTTTCTTCTGATCACTGACTTATCTGTACCCCACAAATTTTAATGTGTTATACTAATTTTTTTATTTCAAAATATTTTAAATTTCCCCTTAAACTTCTATTTTTCCTTTAGGTTATTTAGACACTTTTTTTCAAATATTTGGGAATTTTTTATTAATGTTTCAAGTTTAATTATGTTATGTTTTAAGAATGCAAATTATATGATTCAATTATTTTAAATTTGTTAAAGTTTGAGTTAAGACCAGAATATGGTCCTTCTTGGGGAATGCTCCCTGTGAACTAGAGTTTATACAAATGTCAAATAGAGCAATTTGGCCAATAGTGTTGTTCAGATCACCTATATATGAACTGGTCTTTTGCCCAATTGATCTATTAATTACTGAGGGAGGAGTGTTGAAGTCTTCAACTATAACTGTGGATTTATTTGTTCCTCCTTTCATATCTATCTGTTTTTATCCTATGTACTTTAAGTTCTATTATATATTACATATATAATTAGGATTGGAATGTTCTGAGAATTGACCATCATGCAAAATATATTTACTCTGAAAATATATCATTTTTTTCCCTTAAGTTGTTAACATGGTTATATTGGTTTATAACATACATTTTTAAATATTCTGAATTCAACCTTAAATAGTAGTATTTGTAAGAGATTTATAATATATTCCAAATTATTCCCTCACAATTTTTGTGCCATGATAGTGAAACCTTTCATTTTTCAAATGCTATAAACATAAGACATGTTATAACTTTTGCTGCAAAGGTTTTATTTGAGAGCAGTTAAAATGAGAAGATTTGTATTTTATCATCACTTGATTTCATTTCTGAAGCCCATCATTTCTTTGCAGAGACCCAAATTTTGACTTAATTTTACTATTTTCTAGCTTAATAACTTCTCTTCATCTTCTCTGTGAGCACCAGGTGGTCATCAAAGGGAGAAAACTGCAGGAGGCTGCCATCCACACATGTCTGCAGACTTCAGGGTTGTCACACTATTACACTATTCAACACTTGACCTTTAGTGACTTATTAATTAACATTCTAGCTTAATCATTTTGTTGGCTTTTATGGCATTTCACAGCATTTGCCCCCAGAAAGCAAATGTTGGGATTTTGTTTCTCCCAACAAATGCCTGTCTTCCTTCAGATTCAGGTTAGTGTTTGCCCTGTGATGTCATTTTTTTCCTCATGGCTTTAAGGGAAGATAATCTGTAGCTTGCCCAGTACTTCCCCTGTTATAAAGGTAGGAACAATACTCACTCCAACTCCACATCTCCCATCTGAAACCAGAAGTTCAATCATGTTGTTATGCTAAAAAAAAAAAAAGATATTAAAAAAATAGTCAATTCACTTTAAAGTTACTATTTATGTTTGTAAAATGTAGTAAAATGTAGTTTCATATATTGAGCTTTTCTACATTTCTGAAAAGACTAAAGCCCCCTGTAATTTTTACATAATCAGAAAAAATATTAAAAATGAATGAATTATGAACTCAGAATTGTGAATATTCAACAAAAGGAATCAGAATGGAAATATATGGGGGAAAACAGTACATTTGAGAATAAGTAGTTAAAAATATGATTATGTAGGAACTATAGATAAATGTGCTCATTTCTAGCTTTTGCAGTTTCAAAAATATATTAGTATAAACACAAAAGGGCACATTTTGATAAATACTGTCAACTTTTTTTTTTTCCTTTTTGCCTGACAGAGAAGCTAGAGAAATTTGGAAATTATTGACAGCTCATTTGAATTCTGTTTATGTTGTTATCCCAGTTTCATCTCACTCTTGTGGATGTGGGTCTCAAGAGACCATAAAACCCTTTGTGATTTTACCAGTGACTTCTTGGTGAGATCTAGGAGGGAAAATCACTTAGCCTTCCCTTCAATTTTCTTTTTTATCTGCAAAAGGGGAATGGCAATAACTTTTTGTGTCTTCCAAGCCTATTTTGATGACTGATGATATGGCATTCTGTATTCCTTGGAAGAAAAGTGATAGATAAGAGTGCATGTATAGCAGAGTAAGATTATAAGTGAAGTTTAGAAACACAAACAAAATTGGAAGGGTGTAAATATATTTCAGTGTGAGTGCTTCAGCCTGCTGTTTAACTCATTTTGATTTAACTCTGTAAATTGACTCTTATCTCACTCACCTACAACAATTATAGACCTTAAGCCAGGATTTCTTCTCACATTAAATATACCTCAGGGGGACTGCTTTTGCTGGATCCATCCACTGTCACAAGATGACTGAGCATTAACACTCCCACCTGCTGTGGAACAGCATGGTCCCAAGTGCAACTGCCAGAGTTAAAGAAAAAATAAAAATAAAGAGGGGCATTGAATTGTACTGAGGCGGCCCTTCCTCCTGGAAATGCCTCCTAGAGCCCTTGAGGAGGTCTGGGTTTAAACCTTCTTTAGGAAAACAATTAGAACACCAGGCGTTTTTAATTTCAATGTAATCAATTTGCTCTTCTTGGTGCTATGGAGATTACTATCATTTATTTTATAATTTAGGAGTGCATTAATTATTGACTGTTGTAATATGGACTCTAGCAACATTTTGTGCTGTGAGAAACTGCACTGCTTATTATGCAAAAAATATTTCTTGTCATACTGTAGAGCAATTGGGGAAATTTAGAAGTAACTGTTTTTCAGTAACAAATAAGACAGCTTGAGTTTAGATAATGGGCACAACAGATATGTGAGGACAACTGCTGGTCATTTTATTTTATTTTTCTTGAGTTTATTTTGTAGGGCCACATCATTTGTTAATTATTGACATCTCATAAGGAATATAAGAGTGGAAATAAGATAGTACCATATAAGGACAAAAGTGGGATGCAAGACTAAAAAGTCTAACACCAAGGGGAGAGAGAGAGAGAGAGAGAGAGAGAGAGAGAGAGAGAGAGAGAGAGAGGTAATAGAGTGATCTTTGTCATCAGGGAAGACAAAATGGTGCTATGAGGAGGAGATTATTTTAAACATAATGATGCCTAATTAATATACATCAATTAGAATGTGTTTATAAACAGCTTCAATTCATTTAAAGCTAGATATGCCAAAATCAAACATGAAAAAAGATTATATTATATTACTATATTATATTATGATCTTATAGGAAAGGTGAGTGACAGGTGCAGGTATTGTGCTGTCCTGAGCTGTCATGTTCTCTCCAGGTTGCTCGTGAGTACAGTTGGAAATCCCATGGCTACACATTATATTTTCTTAAGAGTCCTTTGGGCAATACTAGTTATATATTCTATCTCCAATTGTAACTTTTTGGGGATTAAAAAAGCAAGAAAAAGTAACATATATTTGAAAAGTGAATTTGTAGGATTTATTTTTAAATGAAAGTAATAAATTCACATATTTTTAAAAACACCTTTACTGAGAAATGATTTACATGTATTCCAAAGCTCACCCACTTCAGTAGTACAATTCAAAGGTTTATGGTACATTTACAGAATTGGGCAACCTTCATTCTAAAACTGTATGTTCTTCTCAATATCTTTTGCTGCCTTTATCTCTCTTCACAGCTCTTCAATGTCAGAAAGCTCTTGAGTTACCTTAACCCATCTGCTTTAAGATACACTTGAAAAACTCTCAAGATAAGTCAGGTTTCTCCAGAGAAAAGAACCAATACATGTAGCTATATAAGAAGGGATTTATTACAGCAATTGGCTCATGTGATTATCGTGGCGGCCAAGTCCAATGATCTGCTGTCTGCAACCAGAGATCCAGGAAAGCCAGTGATGTAATTTAGTCCCAGTCCAAAGGCTTGAGAACCAGAAGAGCCAGTGGCATAAGTCTGGGTCTGAGTCCAAAGGCTGGAGTATTGTGGGGAAGGCTGATGGTGTAGTCCCCATCCAAGTCTGAAGGCTCAAGAACCAGAGTGCTTTTGTCTGAGGGCAGGAGAAGATAGGTGTGCCAGTTCCAACAAAATTGCAAATTCTTCCTTTCTCTACCTTTTTGTTCTCTTTAGTTTCTCAACAGGTTTAGTGATGTCCACCTGCATTCCTCAAGGTGATCTTTAATCAATCTACTCCTTTAAATGCTAGTCTCCTCCAGAATAACCCTCAAAGAAACACTCAGAAACAATGTTTTACTAGCTGCTTCAGCATCCCTTTGGCTCAGTCAAGCTGAAACAAAACATTAACCAGTCACATTCTGCTTTATCATATGAATAATAGAGAAGAACAATGATTCCTTTGTTTGGAAAAAGAGGTTCATAATAATCTGTAACCTTTCTTTTTAGGTCATGGTTTTCCAAAGTTTTGGCTATTTCTTTCCCATCTCGCAATGTGCCAATATTCATTGTGAAATATCTGTACATAGCATCTCTGTCAATTATACTGGCACTAAAAGAAGAGTAAATAACTAGCCTGGAGAAGCTAGAGTGTGTTCATACTGACAAATCATGGTAGTAATTTAAAATTTTGTTTTTAATCCTTTTTCTAGATCTCAGAAATATTATTAAAAATTTAATAGGATTAGATTAGAAACTAACCTCTCTAATTTATAGTATTTTTTATTTTTGTAGCATTATTTTCATAATTAAATGTGTCTTAGAAAACTAAATGGTATAGAACAGCTATAAATTTGGTTGAGGCACTCTGAAATCCTGTTGCTTAACTTGTCTTGTGCTTTGATATCACATTATAGAATCTGAATCTCTGTTGTCCTGACAGAGAGTATGATAAAAAAAAAATATATGAGCAGAAAACATTGTCTATCTTCTTTCCGCTGCTTAATGACCAAAGAGAATAAAAATGAAAGGGGTGGGAAAAGACTGTAGATGAAAGCCTTCTGGACTCATTTTATTAGATAAAACAATGGAACAGAGGAAAAAGTGATCACTTTAAGGCAAACATGCACTTCGTTCAGCACGTTTGATAAATTGTTATCCTTCCAGGCAATTTGAGATAATATAATCTCTGTGTCTGAGTGGTATAATTACTAGATATGGTGAGAGCTGTCTGGAAATGCACAGATCAATCACCAAGAATTGGCTGGATTCACACCTATTTATTTATACCTGGGGTAAAAAATCCCAACAGCAATGAGAACAAGAGTATTAAACAACAACAACAAAAAAGGAAGGAAGTTGAATAATGAATACGGATGCTCAGTTTTTGGCTTTTAACCAGTGAAATGTTCATATCCATAAACAAAAGGCATTGTGAGGTTTACTTTATAATAACCCTATGATATAAAATCACAATGTAAACATATTTGAATACTGTTTTTATAACTTAAAATACAAATTAAGTTGAATTAAACATTTTTATAAGTTTTGATTAAAATTAATCTCTCTCTCTCTCTCTCTCTCTCTATATATATATATATATATATATATATATATGTGTGTGTGTGTGTGTGTGTGTGTGTGTGTGTTTTAATTTAAGAAGACCCTTAATAGATTGCCTGTCAAAAGTAAGAATAATAGAGAAGAACATATAATTTATGTTTAATATAATATTTTTGCATTTTTCCAATAGATGAGGAGATGATGATTAGGTGTAAAGGATTTAGTTTTCTCTGAATATAGATACTATATGAAAGAGTTCATGATTCACTATGATACTTGGTTTATAATGGTTAAACTTGAAAATGTACAAAAAAACAAAGAAGTATCATTTCATTACCCAGAGACATTTTCAATATGTTGTAAAGGAAAAACCAAAGAAAACAATATATATATATATAATTCATTACAAATGGGAGCCCTAAATACTGCATTATGACTTTATTTCACATGCATAACGTTCTCTAATGGTTGTAGAAAATTTTGTAGAAAAGATATTATGCTTATAAAGAATCTGTTTCAGTTGCTGAACAAACTCAATCTTCTCCTTACATGGGGCAACCAAGTTTAAATGTTTCAATCAGCAACTCAATCTAATTCAACAAAAACTAAACTCATCATTGTCTTCCCAGTAGTCCTGATCCATCTTCATGCTTCCTGTTTTGTTTAATGGTATCATCACTCACCCAATCAACAATTTCAAGATCTTGAACGCTTTATTAATTTTTCTTCTCTCATCATGTCACCAAATCCTGTTTGTTTTATCTTGACAAAGAATTTAACTTTATTTTCCCATCAAAACAACAATACCAAGGCCAACATGCTTGTGTTATCATAGTGTTTTCTTTAATAGACCTAACTCCTTATTTTTTTCTAAATATATTTTTATTGATTTTCAGAGAGGAAGGAAGGAGGAGAGAGAGATAGAAGCATTAATGATGAGAGAGAATAATGGATTGGCTGCCTCTTGTATGCCCATCACCATGGATATAACCTGCAACCTGGGCATGTATCCAAATGGGGAATCAAACCATGACCTCCTGGTTCATGGGTCCACACTCAACCACTGAGACACCATGTCTTGGCTAGACATAACTTCTTTTAAAACATCCATGACTTATTTATGCTTTCACCTGTGGATGAATGTGGGTTATTTTAATTTTGGAACATTATGAATAGCTGTTATAAACATCCATTATAGGTCTGCATGGACAAATGTTCTCAATTGCTTAAGAGAACTGAAATAGGCCATCAATGGCCCAACTTAAATCTGGAGTTTTAATATTATTATAATGAAGGGGAGACCAAAATTGGGGAGCCATCAACTGTCTCTACTAAAAGTAACAAGTTCTCAATAGTATCCTAGAACCTACAATAAAGTTATTAAAAAATTAGCTTTAGATGAATACTGGTTATTAGAGTAATAGTTCATATGCAAGAAAAAAGTTATTTTCAGTAAATTTCCCTAAACCTCTTGCTCTGGACCCATTAAAAGTGGGTATGGATAATTCTCCTCCATTAAGCCTATCTAATAAAAGAGTAATATGCAAATTGACTTTATCTCTGCTACACCCACAAGCCATGCCCACCAGGCAATCAGGAGCAAGTAAGCAAATTAACCCAACCAAGATGGCTACAGCCACAAAGCTGCAGGAGGCTTGGGTTTCCCTGGCACTGGAGGAAGCCAAGCTTCCCTGCTGCCCTGGCTGGCCCAGGCCTACACTCAAGGCTACAAAGTTTCAATTATAGGAGATAAATAAATCCCAACAAAAATGGCTGAAGCCACGGAGTGAGCAGGAGGCTTCGCTCTGCTCAAGGCTACAAAGTTTCAATTATAGAAGATAAATAAATCCGATACCGGGGCCTCCTCTTGGGTTGATGGAGGGCATGGCTGGGCTGCAAACTACCACAGGCCCCTCACCGAAGCTGCCCCACTCCCCAAGGGAACCCACACCCTGATGGAGGACACCATTTAGGGCAAACCAGCTGGCCCCTATCCATGCATCAGGACTCTATCCTATCTAATAAAAGAGTAATATGCAGATTGATCATTACTCCAACACACAAGATGGCTGCCCCTATGTGGTCACAGATGGCATCCATGTGGACACAAGATGGCCACCACAAACTGGCCAGCAGGGGAGGGCAATTGGGAGGGACCAGGCCTGCAAGGGAGGGCAATTGGGGGTGATCAAGCTGGCAGGGGAGGTCCATTGGTGGGGTACCAGGCCTGCAGAAGAGGACAGTTAGGGGCAATCAGGCTGTCAGGGGAGTGTTTAGGGGGTTATCAGGCTGGCAGGCAGAAGTTAGGGGCAATCAGGAAGGCAAGCAGGCAAGCAGTTGGGAGTCAGTAGTCATGGATTGTGAGAGGAATGTCCAACTGCCTGTTCAGGCGCAGACCTACCTGGATTTGGCATAAATGGGCAGTTGGACATCCCTCAAGGGGTCCCAGATTGGAGAGAGTGCAGACTAGGCTGAGGGACCCCCCCCCCCCCTGCATGCATTTTGTGCACCAGGCCTTTAGTGTTATTATAAAGTACAATGAGGTAAGGAAGACTGTAAAAAGCATAGAGAGTGCCAAACACAGAGGGAGAATTTCCATCCCTCTTGTTATTCTTCCTTCCCCTCCTTACTATTACTATTGTAATATTGACACTTGTAATTATTGTTGCTATTATTATTTTCTGAAGTGTCCTAATCTGTTTCTTCATTTTGAAAATCCCAGTGCCTGGGTGAATGCCCCCATACATTTGTCCTCTTTATAACTAGCGCTTGCAGCCTGGTGGAATAGAATTATATTTTAAATTTTGTGAGAACTTTGTGATAATTCCCAGGCATACCTACAACAACATCTTTATAAAGGTCCCTACAGTTGTGCATTAGAAAGTATGACTAGAACTGGTTAACTGTGGTTTGTCATTTGTCTTATACAATTACCTCAAAT